TTCACTTCACAACGGCAAGGGTGTGCTGGTGCCATCCCTCAACACTTGGTCTCCAAGCACAATGATCTGAGAGCCATGGGCAAAGGGTTTCAGGAAAGCCAGAGCTGCCACCTGACTTGGAAGACCATGAGTTTTCCGGAGTAACTTGGTGAATTTCAATGCTGCATTGCTGGAAACCTGTATTATTTTTCTTCAAACTACTCTCGTGGTTATCAGAATCTGCTGCGTCTCACAGCTCTTTTGCTTCTGGCATCTTCTGGCATATGCTTTGATAGGAAGCCATGTGAAACCTCTAACCACTGCCATCTTGTCCCATCCATCCCCGGCCGTGGAAGTGGTGCAGGCCGCAATCTGATTCAGTCCCACCACGGGAGGCACCTGCAGCCGGCAGAACTGCTGTGGCAGCCCACTTTTTAAATCCCCTTCTGCAGTGTCTCTTGTGGTAAAATCCTTCCTTTCAACCTACATAAATGCCTTTTTGATCAAGTTAAGATGTTTATTCATAAAAATACAAATCCCGAACAAATCCACGGAATTCCAGTAGACATTCATTTTTAACCTCAATGAAAATCCCTGAAAATCCATTGAATCATTTCCATCCACCAAGTGACCGCCAGGATGAGCGCCCGCTCTTCATCCAAGACCAAACGCTTCTGCCAAGCTCCATGGCCTTGGTGAAAATGATGATTGTATGGTGATAGTAATGGTGATAGTAATGGTGATAGTAATGGTGATAATAGTATAAAATGGTATTACTGATAGTAATATCACTAGTATAAAATGGTATAATTATAGCATAAATAATATAATTGGTAATTAATATTATGATAGTATTGGTGATTATCCTAGTAATCAATAGTTATTATAATATATTATCATGCCATTAATGATTAAATAATATATTGTATAGTGATTAAAATGGTGATTAACTGAGCAATGATCCATGTGGAATTGATGAACCAGTGGATGGAATGGGAATTATACCCTATTTTCAGACATACTGACATACTTTCAGGCTTCCGACGGTCATCATTGAAGAACTTTCGTAGGAGGAAAGCTATCCTGCTTTCGGTTTCACATGTCTTACCGTCCCAGGAATCCCAGTAGAGAGCCCGCAAAATCACGTGGCAATGAGTTGTGTAATTACAAATCATACCATGGCCTTGTGGCTGCACACCCGACCATCTCAAGAAATCAGAGACCCTGAAGCCACAGAATTTAATCACAATTCCCCACGAAAATGAACCATGCTATACCACGCTTCTGGGCCCACTGCCCATCGAAACGGTCGTTTCACTTCCACCCGTCCTCGCCCCTTCGGGGACAGTATCACTGCAGGACTTCAAGACAACTCCCACCTGAGAAATGATGAGAAGCTGTATTCGAAGATCAAATATCAAAATACCAACCATGTTCAACATGAATACAGCCTGTCTTCAGCCATATTCTGTGCATGATGATGCATTTACTCCCAGCGTTGCGTGTCGCTGGACCTTTTCAGCAATACGATATGGCACCTGGAGCTACTTGGACTTGGCATGACTTGGCCATATCAAACCCGAACTCATCGGCCGTACAACAACCAACTGAGATTCCTACACCCTCCACGCCCATGACATGCGGAGTCTGAAGCGCTTCGAAGGCTCCAGAGCAGTTCTGAGCGACTGGAGATGGGCGAAGGATACTCGAAACCACGGTCGGTGTCAAATGGCCGCATAGTCAGAGGTGGCACAAGTTAGATTAAAAAACATGATAAAATGGTGCTATATGATGTTGGTGGATGTTGTATGTGGTTATCCTGTCTCACTCTTGCTCAAAGATTCTGTGCGATGCCTAATCCAGAAAGTCAGGGCTGTGCGAATCATGCAAATTATGAATGGGTGCGTTCAAAAACTAAGAAATCAAGCCAATGAATTCCTTTCCTGAAAGGTGTTGGACTCTTTGCCGGCCCAACGTGTATTTTGATGTTTCTTGCGTCCTCCCTTTTGGAAACGCCCAGATGACTCCTTGTGTTTGGCTTTTACCAACACAAACAGTCACTAACATACTTTGTGTATGAAATGAGCTCCAACCAGTGGTCCCAAGAAATCCCTAGAACATTGCTATGTGAGAGTTTAAGAAACTTTAGGCAACACAGTCCCGAATCAACTGAGGTTGCGACGAACATCTCTCCATCCAGTGGCTGGACACTGCTATACTCCACTTGGACCTGTAGTGACTTGGAATGACCTGGATATGAACTGGGGCAAAGTTACAAAGGATTGAAAGGGACACGGTTTCTATTCACACTCCCTGTTTATTATGGCAATGTATTCTTCAACAGCAACAGCAGTGTTTACAAATATGATCCATCGTGTGCTTTTCCCATAGTAAGCTCCCACAGTATGGCCTGCGGGAAACAGAGCAGTGGCAACCACTCCCCGCATTTCTTTGAAAATTGACGTTCCATGGCAACATGCTTTCTGTCAATCACCACGAAAATGAGCATGCAATCAACAAAGGACAGTATATTACTCATCTCAATACAATTTTGGGGCTGAAATGGACCTGAAGAGCTTCTTTGCATTTGGTTTGGTCTTTAAGGGCCACGGCAACACCAAGGCAACCAGCTGCTACACAGGCACCAACAATTGGCCAGCTCGAAGTCGCCTGAGGCTCGCAGGATTCCAGCCCATATCAGCACATTATTCCAAGCTTACTTGGATACGTTAGGCGTGTAAAATGATACATTTGTGCACATTAACTATACACAAACATGGAAGAATTATGAAGGATTATATACTGCTTATTCAGGGGCGTACTACGTCAAATGAACAGGACAGCGGATCAGACCAGACATCATCTATTAGGGTAGAATATGTAGAATCCACATGACTCAAGGATGTTTTCCGCAAATGACAAGCACGACAATTCCGCTGCAAGAAGAAGACTTTGAGTTGGAAAGAACTTTCAGGCATTTGAAACAACTTGTCCAAAACGGAGCATCTGAATTTTCAGAGGCTTGCGCAAACATTTGCAGAGACCAAACGCGTTTGGACATGTTTCCGATCGACATAGCGTTCCGAAAATAAAGTGCGAAAGAGGTATTTGTGATAGTGATAGGCTATGATAGGGGACAAAGACACGTTATAAACCATTATAAATCATTACAATACATTATAATTCATTATTATAAATCATTATAATACATTATAAATCATTATAATACATTATAAATCATTATAATACATTATAAATCATAATAATACATTATAAATCAGTATAATACATTAATCATAATACATGATAAATCATTATAATACATTATAAATCATTATAATACATTATAAATCATTATAATACATTGTAAATCATTATAATATATTATAATGCATTGTAAATCATTCTAATAATACATTATAAACATTATAATACATTAGAATACAACATAATACATTATGATACAAATATCAGTCTTCTAATTAGACACCACAGAATGTGCACTGCATGAAATATCTGTGGCTCCAGACTCATCTTGAAACACTTGACGAAGCTCCAGGACCCGTGGGCGGACCAACGTCAGCGCAAGCGATTTGGTGGACATGGCATGCTGTTTTTAGGTGACAAACATCAAACCTGCTGATGATGTGCTTGCAAGAAAACAGCACCACCAACCAAATCCAAAGCATGATACACATCCAATTCTTACTTTAGGATCTTTAAGGATAATACTCCATGGTCTTTTGAAGCAGTCGCAGCCGTTTCAAGCTGCATTTGGATGTTTATCTCATTCTTAGATTTCTTAGTGATTGGAACAAACAAGGCAACCAGGAAAAGCTCATGGAGCAGAATGACTTCCTAGAGTGGGATCATCCTGTGAGTTTCTGCTTGCGGGCTTTGATCTTCTAAGCAGCTTTGACAACAGAAAATCAGTGAGGATCCAACATATCAAAACCAGCAGCATGGTGAAGGCAAAGTAAAACCATACCACCTGACATGAAATCTGCTGGTGGGCTTGGAATGGCTATCTGATAACGGCAATTCTTGTGTTGTCTTCTCGTATTTCTTGGTCTGTTGGAGCAAACATGAGCAAACCTGAGCGGCGGTGCTATAGAATTTCAGAGCATGCTGCATGATCGCAAAGACTTTGGCAATAAGTCTTCGACTTGATTGATGCTTCTTGATTCCGTTCTTTGTGTGCTTCCTTTCATTGTGAATTCTGGTTTGACCTCCTCTCGCATTCCTGGTTGTCTTTGCATCTCTGTTGAAGGTTGATGGTGATACCGTGATACCTTGTACTCGTGACATGGCCATGGCATGCCATGTAGTCTTGCTGCGTCATACCCAGTTGCTGGACGCAAGCCTGTACTTACATCATTTGCAAGAACCTGCGTGATGAAGAAGTGTTCTTTCAACTCATCAAAGCATATCAAAGCGCAACTGTCGGCTGCTGTGGTACTCATGAAATGATGATAATGATGTATACTAAGCTCGACTTTTCAAATACAGTACCACGACGATTAGGGAGAATTCCGGCTTCGATTTGTCAAGCATCAGAACTATCTGCAAAAATCCTTTTTAAATCTGTGGCTTCACACAGGAAATTCAAAGAAAGCATGGTCCTTGAGAACGTAGTGACGTAGTGTGGGACGAGATAAAAGTAGAGCTCTACAACTGGCAGTTGTTCATCTGTTCATTGTAATTATCAACGTCTGTTCGTGTCCCATATCTCACAGTTCTCTAGAGGACTGTACACTGGAAACGGGGCTCAGGACATAAACAATAAAGCCTCAGAAGCATCGATAGCGCATCAAGTGTCAATGGAGGTTTCCACTGGGATCCGTACTGTACAGCGGCGCTATCGAACCCCTTGGTTCCAAATCTCCTGCAGTGCAACTGCTGGTGGACAGAGCTGGAATGCGACGCAATATGCCTGTGACCGTGGCATAGAAAATGATGAACATACAATCAACAAGAGTCAACAAGAGTCAACAAAAGTCAACAAGAGTGAACAAGAGTCAACAAGTTGATAGACTTGCAAATCCTTGTTGCAGTGCTAATGCTACTCATTCCATTATCCGGGTCAGGCAGCAAAGCTGGAACCGGCATTTTTTGGATGATTGAGGTATGGACGTCTTTTGCGTCTGGAGTTCTCAACTCAAAACTATCAAAGGTCTCAATTGCGCTAGAAACCTGGCAGCAAATCAGATCAGATCAGTCCTCACAAAAGACATCTGCTTCTTCTGCGGATATGAATTCAAAGATGTAGTCTTTTTGCTTCATCCCCTTGTTTCATCAAGTTCGACCATGACATACTGGAAAACAAGTTGCATTCGGCATTTTTCAAAAAAGTGGAGGATGTAGAGTCACGGAATCATCCCTTAAATAAAGGCATCTAAAATCCAGCAGATTTTAGCTCCAACATCACATCGGCTGCACATCGGCTGCCAGAGTCTTTCGGCTCCATCAACCAAGGTGGGTTTTTTCATCCGGAAAGTCCCTGTGGGTTTTTGACAGGGTCAGTGGGTCAGTCATACCCCCTAAATCTGATGTTAATCAAAAAAGGCCATTTGGGGGATGTTAAATGATGTATGTCATGTATACATATGTATACATATGTATACCAGTTTCCGACAGACCCACATGGCAGTCGTCCGAGGCACTTTCTTTGCACTGGCTGGCAGCACGGTGAAGGACATCTCTAAGATCACATCACTTTTCAAAAGCACACGATCCTGCTGGCTTAGAGGCGTGAGGAAATATGGTCGGGCCAGCTTTTCATGATTCATGGGGCGGTTTCTCACTGATGAGTTTTTCACTGATGATACTTTTCTATGCTTTACAATTTTCAATGAGATTGTTCTTGTATAAGATGAATTTGTCAACAGTTATCTGACTCTAAGCATTTCTGCTGAAATCTCTCTGCAACTTCAGGGAGGCCTTTTTCCAGCCAATTTTCTGCTGACACATTGACTGGCCTCTATGGAAAACAGGGCTCATATTCTGAGCAAGATTGCTGGGATCCCATTTACACTATAAGAATCATTTACACTATGTCGATATGGTCAAAGCATGTCAAAGCAAAGTCAGTTGCATCCCGAAACGATGTGATGTCACAGGTCTCTGCACACTGCAATATCCGCAGTCCATACCATCAGGGATCTGCACAACATATTTCACCTGATGCAGGTGGCAGTCCATCTACAGAAAGAAAAACATCTCCACCAGGTCTGGTTCTCTCTTTGAAGATCAGTTGCAAAACCGGTCATCAGCAGGTACATCCAAAGAGTTTGAGTCAGGTACATCAGTTTCTGCTTGCCCGCTGAACACTGCATTTTCGCAACCTCTCAATAAAGCTCCAGTGGCAAATCTGCTGCCTTGCTGCACAGTATCATCCCGTCCCAGCCGCACCTGTGATGTAGAATTCTTGTCATAGATGAGGAGCTGGCCGCTGCGCAACTCAATGCTTCGACAGTCGTGACGCGTGTTGTTCAACAGGCGATAGACCTGTAGGCTGATTGAATGCTGATGCAAGAGGGGATGGGGGAAAGCTCTGACTGTGACGGTCAGATTCCAGTGAACAAACAGGAACAGCGCCTCGAACTTCATCACAAGACCTAAAGGCTCCGAAACATTCCTGAGCATCTGATCCAGTCCCGTATGGAAATGGTTATATGTCCCAAATGAAAAACTATGATAATTCTAGAATATTCATATATTATTCTAAAGATAAGTTCATAAATCTATTAATTATATATATATACCAAATGGATAAATGACAAGCGGATAAGTGTAACAAAATTTGGAGCAGGGAAACAAGCTCACACTTTCACCAAATCGATCCAAATCGCACATATATTGCAGGATCCCCCGAATATTCGGACCTTTTGGATGGTGTTTATACAGGGGGATGGGATTAAACACAACAAACATCTATACCCACCTTTATAAATCCCTCAAACTACTATAATGCTATATGATATTATATGATATATATATATATATACATAATTATACATATCCGGTGCAATCCTGGTGACACCTCTGACTCTCCGAATGCCAAGCCTGCTGCTTTGGCTTGCGGCTTCATCTATACACTAAACTCACGCTTCATCTATAGACTGCTACATACTGCTACAGTTGCTACAGTGTTTCAATGTGTTTCAGTTCCACCTACATCCCCCAGTTCCACTTACAATAAAGTCATATGATTGGCCAAGGAGATCCAAAAGAACACTACTGACGACTCGTGGACCGAGGATCAGTGTGTTGCTGCAGCAACTGCTACAACTCCGCTCACTGGCGAAGCTTTGGATCGCCGAGACGGTGGTGGCCGTCCGAGTGGAAGTGTCGTCCTGGTAGCAACAGAGGGAGCACTGGTTCAGAGATGTTCAGAGGGTCTGTTTGGAGGATTCAACGGTTTAGGAGTTTAGGGTCCGTGGATCTTTTTGGGATAGGACCTTTCAGACATTTCCAGACATCTTTACACTTTGAAAGCTTGTTTGGACTGCTCAATTGCTTGACGCCAAATCATTTTCGTGGTCAGCCTTGGCTGCATCCAACAGTCCACCTGAGTTCCTCTGAAAAATCTTGCAGTAAAACTCATTCCATCAGAAATCACCTGACTTTTGGGGATGCGGACCCCGGGGCCCGGGGCTCATCATCTCCTGAATGGCCAGTGGAGTTCTTCTCTTCTCCAAAGTTCTTGGTCCCTGGTGAACATCGCTACGCAGTAAACCACCCACTCCCAAAAAAACCGCGGTAAACCCCAAACTCACCCAAACACCGCTCTAATCCACAGGAGTAGTTCGTTATTGGTTAGATATGGTTATAGGTCATCTTAAATCACCATGTCACGCTTGTAAGCAGCCACCAAAGAATGGCCAGTTCAAACTGGTGAACGTTCACAGTTCACAGATCCTGGACCCGTGGCCTCAATGGCCCGAATCTCATCTACTCCACGTTGGGCCTCCCGAAGGCGCGTCAGACAGTGGCCCAAGTTGTGTTTTCCCACAATGCACAAGAATATATATAATTGACAAGAACCCTAGAAATCACATCAGAAACACTTTAGCAACAAACCATATCTCTTGAACATACTACCTTGCTGTGATTCCAAGTAACATTGCAACAACAAGGCAACATCCACCACACCACCTCCAGGCAATCGCCCAGCTTTGGCAGGTCTGGGAAGGCGTCACCCACATGCCTGGCGGAACCACACGAATCAATGACCAGCCGTGTCGCACTGAACGACGTCAGGGTCATATCAGCACAACGGATGGCAGGTGTTTTTTCATAAATCGACATAAATAATTATGAACTCAAACTACTCAATCTTCTGTATCTGTATGGAGTGGTTGAGTAGTAATTCTGAGATATTCTGAGTATCTGTGGATTCTGCTGCATGGCTCCCAAACAAAACCCGCCCTGCTGGCACTCCTTCGAAATTCCTCCGAGCTCAGAACGCTGCTGAGGCCTCAGCAAACATTCTGAAAACAAGGAGATGTTAAGAAAACACATGAACAATATTGATACTATATACATAATATTATATATATATATATTACAACTGTAGTTCAAGTATATCACATCAATAATACCCCATTCAGAACAACCATCAATATCAATATCACATCAATGATATCAGTATTACATCAATATTGTACATATCCTAGAGGCCTTATAAGTATATTACTCTAAATTGTATGACTGTAATTGTTATTATTGTAGAATCGTAAAATTGCAACACTATATAATATTTATATATAGTGCAATTTTATCTATCTTTTGGAATCAACCTACTCAAGCTCTGTAAGTCTGCAATGAGCAGGTCAAAGGAGCTTAGATCTGCTCCGTTTACGGGTACAAAAACGGGTAAATCATTTGCGAGTCTCCCATATATCTCACCATGGACCAGTTTGGCTGGGAATGAACATCGCATTTTGTTTGTACGTCGATATCATTTTTTAAATGCCGGGTCCTCCTTGGTTACACATCAGGATGTATCAATCGTATTCTGCTTGGTGATTTCAACCCATTGGTGATTCAAACTTGGTGAAAACACAAATATCATCAAACATCTAGAATCCAATCAAAACCATTCTAAATCCACCAGCCAGAACACAAGTTCAGAGGTTCTCTTATAATCATTTACAAGTATCATTATCAAGAAGGAATATAAAAAGAAACATCGAGTCAACAAAAACAAATATGGAGATGTCCTAAATATGGGCCCCCCAAACCATTGGTGTTCAAATTGAGAATCAGCAATTTGGGATAAATTTTTGGGGTAGCTTCATTTTAGGAACCCCCCTTTTTTCATCACTGCCAGGTTCATCAAGGTACTGAGTGTAGCATCCCCAAGGCCCTTAGCCAAGTGAGGCAGGCGCTCTGGTGCACTCCTGGCACGCAGCCTCGGGCGGGGCTTTAGCCGTGGCCTGGTTCCATGACTGGACCCCCCCAAAAGCTGGATGATGCTGGATGGTTTATTTCATGGAAAATCCTATCATAAATGGATGATTTAGGGGTACCCCCATGGATTGGAATTGGAAACCCCTCTATGTATATATGGGGGTTGTCCTAAATTACTGTTCCCACAAAGGCCTCTTGGGCCGAGCTTGCGCCAACCTTGCGCGTTTCTTGCGCGACCACACTCCCGGATCACTTTCATCATTTCAGTTGTTTTTCATCATTATTCTCGTACTTGTTTTCGAATGTTAAATATTTAGTATTCACTTAGTATTTCGTACTGGGAAGTAGTTTGTGCAAGCTTTGTAGTACAAAGTAGTACTGGGAAGTAGTTTGTGCAAGCTTTGTAGTACAAAGTAGTACTGGGAAGTAGTTTGTGCAAGCTTTGTAGTGCAAAGTAGTACTGGGAAGTAGTTTGTGCAAGCTTTGTAGTACACAGTAGTACTGGGAAGTAGTTTGTGCAAGCCATGCAGTACAAAGTAGTACTGGGAAGTAGTTTGTGCAAGCTTTGTAGTGCAAAGTAGTACTGGGAAGTAGTTTGTGCAAGCTTTGTAGTACACAGTAGTACTGGGAAGTAGTTTGTGCAAGCTTTGTAGTACAAAGTAGTACTGGGAAGTGCTTTGTGCAAGCTTTGTAGTACACAGTAGTACTGGGAAGTGCTTTGTGCAAGCTTTGTAGTACACAGTAGTACTGGGAAGTGCTTTGTGCAAGCTTTGTAGTACACAGTAGTACTGGGAAGTGGTTTGTGCAAGCTTTGTAGTACACAGTAGTACTGGGAAGTAGTACTGGGAAGTAGCTCTGCACGTGTTGAACTTCTGTGGTTTCAGAGCGGTTTCAGAGTGGTTTCAGACCCCTTCGGGGGGTCTAGCTGACCTTGATGAAAAGAACAATTTACAGACAGAAAAGACTTGAACACAACATACAAGGAAATACATTTAAAGAGCAGATAGATAGATAGATAGATAGATAGATAGATAGATAAAGCAGCCAACGCGGTCCGGAAGACATGCAGCAGCAGCCCGGAGATGGTGAGCAGGAAGGTGTTTCAGAGTGGTTTCAGACCTCTTTTGGGCTTGTTTTTTGGGTACCCCAGCTTTGGGAGATGAAAAAAGAAAGAGAAAAGGTAGAGAAAGAGAGAGAGAGAGAGAGACAGAGAGAGGAAGAGGGAAAGAGAGAGAGAGATAGAGAGAGAGAGAGAGGAAGATGGAAGATGGAGACAAACAGAAGGCGAGAGAGAGAGAGAGAGAGACAGAGAGAGGAAGAGGGAGAGGAAAGAGAGAGAGCGTTGTAAATGGTGAGCAGCGGGGTGTTTCAGAGTGGTTTCAGACCTCTTTTTGTCCGTAGGCTACCTCAGCTTTGGAGAAAAACAGGAAAGAACGGGAAAAGAAAGAAGAGAAGGGAGAAAGAGACAGAGAGAAAGAAGAAGTCTTGAGACGGTGAGCAGGAAGATGTGTCGAACTGGTTTCAGACCTCTTTTGGGGCCGGTTATGGCCACCTAGTTCTTAAGACATCCAAAAGAAGGGGCTCAAAACAGATTGTACTTGAAACACATGCGGTCCGGAAAGACGTGCAACGGTCCGGAAAAGCAAGCACCCAAAACGTACTCTAATCGTAGCGATTGCGGTCCGGAAAGCCATGCAGCGGTCCGGAAAAGCGAGCACCCAAAACGCACTCTAATTGTAGACATTGCGGTCCGGAAAGATGAGTACGTTTTGGGTGCTTGCTTTTCCGGACCGCTGCTCATCTTTCCGGACCGCAATGTCTACAATTAGAGTGCGTTTTGGGTGCTCGCTTTTCCGGACCGCTGCATGCCTTTCCGGACCGCAATCGCTACGATTAGAGTACGTTTTGGGTGCTTGCTTTTCCGGACCGCTGCAGGTCTTTCCGGACCACAATGGCTACAATTAGAGTACGTTTTGGGTGCTTGCTTTTCCGGACCGCTGCAGGTCTTTCCGGACCACAATGGCTACAATTAGAGTACGTTTTGGGTGCTTGCTTGGTCTCTCCTCTCTTTCTCCCTTCTCTTCTTTCTTTTCCCGTTCTTTCCTGTTTTTTCTCCAAAGCTGAGGTAGCCTAAGGACAAAAAGAGGTCTGAAACCACTCTGAAACACCCGCTGCTCACCATTTACAACGCTCTCTCTCTCCTCTCCCTCTTCCTCTCTTTGTCTCTCTGTCTCTCTGTCTCTCTCTCTCTCTCTCTCGCCTTCTGTTTGTCTCCATCTCTGTCTCGTGCTATCCTCTTTTCCCGACCGCTGCATGTCTTTCCGGACCGTAATGTCAACAATAAGAAGTATTTTTTTGGGTGCTCTAATGCTCCTTTTTTCCGGACCGCTACAGGTCTTTCTGGACCGCAATCGCTACGATTAGAGTACGTTTTGGGTGCTTGCTGTTCCGGACCGTTGCACGTCTTTCCGGACCGCGATATCTACAATTAGAGTACGTTTTAGGTGCTTGCTTTTCCGGACCGCTGCGCGTCTTTCCGGACCGCAATCGCTACGATTAGAGTACGTTTTGGGTGCTTGCTTTTCCGGACCGCTGCAGGTCTTTCCGGACCACAATGGCTACAATTAGAGTACGTTTTGGGTGCTTGCTTTTCCGGACCGCTGCAGGTCTTTCCGGACCACAATGGCTACAATTAGAGTACGTTTTGGGTGCTTGCTTTTCCGGACCGCTGCTCATCTTTCCGGACCGCAATGTCTACAATTAGAGTGCGTTTTGGGTGCTCGCTTTTCCGGACCGCTGCATGCCTTTCCGGACCGCAATCGCTACGATTAGAGTACGTTTTGGGTGCTTGCTTTTCCGGACCGTTGCACGTCTTTCCGGACCGCATGTGTTTCAAGTACAATATGTTTTGAGTCCCTTCTTTTGGATGTCTTAAGAACTAGGTAGCCCCATAACCGGCCCCAAAAGACGTCTGAAACCAGTTCGACACATCTTCCTGCTCACCGTCTCAAGACTTCTTCTTTCTCTCTGTCTCTTTCTCCCTTCTCTTCTTTCTTTTCCCGTTCTTTCCTGTTTTTTCTCCAAGGCTGAGGTAGCCTACGGACAAAAAGAGGTCTGAAACCACTCTGAAACACCCCGCTGCTCACCATTTACAACGCTCTCTCTCTCTCTCCTCTCCCTCTTCCTCTCTCTGTCTCTCTCTCTCTCTCTCGCCTTCTGTTTGTCTCCATCTTCCATCTTCCTCTCTCTCTCTCTCTCTCTTTCCCTCTTCCTCTCTCTGTCTCTCTCTCTCTCTCTCTTTCTCTACCTTTTCTCTTTCTTTTTTCATCTCCCAAAGCTGGGGGTACCCAAAAAACAAGCCCAAAAGAGGTCTGAAACCACTCTGAAACACCTTCCTGCTCACCATCTCCGGACTGCTGCTGCATGTCTTCCGGACCGGGTTGGCTGCTTTATCTCTATCTATCTATCTATTTATCTATCTATCTATCTATCTATCTGCTCCTTTTTCTTTGGATGGCCTATTTACCACCCTGGTTATCTATGTTTATCAACTCGAGATATTAATATTTAAGATCTAAATCAGATACGGTAGTAGTAGTAGTAGTAGTAGTAGTAGTAGTAGTAGTAGTAGTAGTAGTAGTAGTAGTAGTAGTAGTAGTAGTAGTCAGTAGTAGTAGTAGTAGTAGTAGTAGTAGTAGTAGTAGGAGTAGTAGTAGTAGTAGTAGTAGTAGTAGTAGTATAGTAGTAGTAGTCTAGTAGTAGTAGTAGTAGTAGTAGTAGTAGTGGTAGTAGTAGTAGTAGTAGTAGTAGTAGTAGTAGTAGTGTAGTAGTGGTAGTAGTGGTAGTAGTAGTAGTAGTCGTCGTCGTAGTAGTAGTAATCAAAATGTTAACTAAAAATAGTACTTGTAATAATGATAACAATAGTACTTGCGCGTACCTTGGGCCGCCCTTGCGCGAAACTTGCGCGATGCAGGTTTTAGACCATGGGAAAAATGCGAGAATAGGTCCTTTACTAAAAACCTTTCTGGGGTTTTTGGACGGCTCCCATATATATGGGGTATTATGGGGTTATATACTATATATAGGATTAAAATATATTATATATGATTGTAATGGATTATAGCAGAATTGGACATGAGTTTAGCGGCTAATTTAGGGGATGTTCTAACTCACGATTATGATAAAGTCATCACAATTTCTACTTTGGTAATATTTTTTGGCAAGATATTGCGCATACTGAGGTTATCTGAGTGATACTCTAATACCATCCCTAAATCGCACTTCAGGTTGGTGAATTGTTGCAAATGATAGATGTCACTTGTCCCACTGTTCGATTGAGGAAAACAAAAACATCTTCCCCAATTGTTCGGGCAATCAATGGGTGAATGATCGCAAATGCTATCCGCCAAGTAAAACAGGTAAAAAGGTACATTGTAAACGGGGTGAGTTTCTATAGTTTGTCTTAGTTACTGTAGTTCTAATCCCATTCCCCGAAGTATGTAGCTGATCACTTACATATAATTTCAACAATACCCACTATGATTGGTTACCCTTCATAATCTGTTCATAATCATTAACATTTACAATGTTCCATGGCCGCTATGATTTATTGATCACCCAACAATTTCCAGAGTAAGGGATCAACCACCAACAGAATTTGCTGTTTAACCACAAGATGGGTCTGCGGTATACTCCCATCCCCTTAAGAAAGATTCCACCTACTTATCATCACTTTTTCCTGAAGTCTCCGGCAACCTCGGTACAGTGCAGAATCTTCCTACTCATCACCCGCCTTTTTATTCATCTCACAGTCTCACAGTCGGTCATCAAACCACAAGCGTAGGGCAACAGGATGGATCCAGGTCAGCGAGGTCACACGCTGCGCAAGAAACACGGTCCCCGGTATGCCCAGCCCTCGTACGGTCGAAAGTGGTGAGGTGGTAGGTGTTGGTGAAGTGAAGTTAGAAATGGCCCTGAGCTTCCCCAGGAACCTAAGACACCTAGCCAGGAAAGTCGACGTCGTGGGCAAGGATCGCAAAGGTCAGGGCAACAAGGTGAAAGCAGTAGATCCGCAGCAGCAGAATTCGCCAGAGAATCTCTGTAAATTCAAAGTGACTCTCCCGTCTAGCAATGTCCTTCTGGAATTGTAGGTTCATTTTTTCCTGCTTGACCATGAATCCCTTTATTACTCAACCAAGAAAGAAGCAGGAAAAGGACCACCGAGCATTTAATTATGGTTAATAATAGCTACTAATTCAAAGCACTTATAACTCCCATCTACATCCCACTCTGCATAAACCGAATTTGTGAGCATGTTCGAGAATTGGGTAACCCCAACCCCAGCTGTTAATCATCATTTTCCTAATGAGATTACATTCTTTGGGGTATCCTCCCATTATCTCCTGATCCTGGTTGCTTCTGAAGTCACATTTTGGCTAGTAACATATGGTAAAAATCACCATTCTATGGCTGCAACATCACCAGCCAGTGTTGATTATTCCCCGTTTGCACCAGTTAATCTATACCAGTGATTAATCCCTATATTTATACATATATAATCATATATATATACACTATATATATATATATACACATATGTATATATATATATATACATTATATATAATCTCCAATATAAATCCCCATTGTTGGTGAATCCCATAACCATCCCCATCCCATCCACGTTGCCGCACGTTGCCTTGATCAAGGCTTGCTGCATATTGTCCAGGTCAATGCCAGTGGTGTCCGAGGAGACGATCAAACTCCTCCGCTTTTTGTGTTCGGGGGAGCTTTGGACGATCCGAAGACGAGGTAAGTTGGGAATATGAACTATGATGAACTAAGTCTATAATAATGATATACCATGATATACCATTTGTATGTAGTTATTAGTATTTTGTTACCATATGTCGTATTACACCCTATTGTTAATGATTATCAAACTTAGATTAACATTGAATAGTACTATGTCTATAGATATGCCCAGATATTGTAATCTTAAATTGTATATAACCGGGTTACTGTTTCCATGTTTTCATTTTGGAATTGCTATGGTATGACGTGGATGGAAAATGTATGATGATGTTATGCTGAGCAACATGTCATGATATGGATGTTAAGATACATCAACGTCTTGTAAGTTCTTGGGCAAATGCTGGTGTCAGCGCGTAATAGGACTAATTATGTATGTCTAGTGAAGGGTACTACAATATCTTAACTTAGATTCTATGTCTATATAGATGCATATTGCACATCTAATTAATTATATTATGGACATGGATGAATATTGTAATATATTGTATATCCAGTCGATGCTATATATGATATGATAGGATATGATATGATAAATATAATGCTTATTATATATATATATACGAATACACATGAACGTGTATACACACATGCACATCTGGAATGATCATCCATCTCCATCTGAAACCATGCCACGCTGTTTCCAGATGTTGAGATGTAGCTGCCTCATGGGCCCATGGGTTAAACGAGTTCAGCTGATGAAAGTCAGTTGAGATCGGTGGGTTTTCAATGGTTTTCATACGAATCCCCCGAAAGGAAACCCTGTGTAGGAGTATTGGATTGTATTGGATCACTCTTCATGTACTGGGCCAGTATTGCCGAGGATATTGACCTTAAATCCAACAGTTTATACCAGTACCTTATTCATTCTATTTTCCTATTAAAATGGTATCTTGTGGGGTACATTTCGCACTTTAAGAAGGAACCCATGCCACACCTGATTTCACTGTCGGCGTTTTGGGCTTTCTGCCAGACGGTATCCTCAGTGCTCACCGGCTTTTCGCATCAATATAACTGGTAAATGACTGGTGATCTACCGAATATATATATGTATACATATAAATATAATATATATATATATACATATATATATATATACATATATATATATATATACATACACATATATATATATATACATATATATATATATATCCAGGAATACTTTGACAAGGTAAATATGAGGTTGTGACCAATACTCAATTACAGCTAAGCGAACCGATCCAGTCCTTGGCATTCGATTATCATTCTGGATACAAACGTCAAAAGGCTGGTCGTTTAGATTGCTATGGGTCACATGTTTCAAGCCCAGGGAACCATAGGGAACCCGAACAGGAAGCTACTGCATCTGGGGCTTGCACCACTGCTTGATTCAATTCAGCACAAAGCTGATGTGCCTGCACTGACAGCACTGAGATAAGAATTTTCGGTGAATATCTGAGTCTCAAATCTTCGCTTTCTGTGCATTCTACCTGCGGCTCTTAAACAATTGTCGAAAATTCAAGATTGATCCAATCAACGATTAAAATGTTCTCTGTGGCAATCATGGGCGGTCTGAATTGGAGCCATTGAAAGGACATCTACCTTCCAACTTTGATGTCTAGATGACCTGCAAAATGCAGTATTTGATAGTATTTGTATAGTATTTGTATAGAAACGATAGGATGGTATTCTTCACTTTCTTGTGCAATTCCAGCAAGCGGGTACACTTTTAATCGATCCGTATCTGAGATTTCTCATACATCCTGGATGCAAGCTGCCAGGTAGGCATCCCCGAAAAAAGGTGGGCCATGAAGTTAGTCAAACTGGCTTAGTAAGGTATATATAACCTGCCATATATCCGTTAGATGGGGGCATAACATGGTATAACAGCCATATACTACCCATGAAGTTGCCAGCCAGTCAACTAGCTCGCCCGTCCAAGCACCAACTGTTCCACCACAGGCCTTTCGAACACCTTCATCCAAATGAAGGGAGCCACCTTCCAGCACCAGCAGGCGGCCTCCATGTTGCCTCAACAAACCAAACATCTCCATCACCAAGTGAGGTCAAAGAATTGCAGGACTGTGCACAGAAACCTTGAATGCACTTGTAGAGCTTAAACTAGGAGGTATGTGCTCGTGACGTCGTAGGTCAATCGAGAAGAAATATTTAATGCTTTGGATCCCCATGCGCAAGCCATTCTCCTTGTCACTCTGGAATATGATGGATTTGAATTACAGCATACGATTCCAAGGTTCTTCGGAGATTGTGTATCCCCGTTGTTTCATCAATGTTTAAGACATTAGAGGACCAGGTTACATTCACACTAATATTGGTGTGTCATGGTGGGTCAGAAAATGGGTGTACCATTCTCCTCGAAATTGAAGGCAAATTTACTAGGGAAAATGATGTTCAACATTCAACACCATCAAATCTGGCTGGGTTTTCCAAAATTGATGTTTTTGATGATGATATATATATATATATTATGTGAACGTTCCACGTCATACTCAGAGACAAAACATCGTCTCTTCCGTGAAAGCTTGGCTTCAAGTTGAAAAAGGCGAGAGAACTTGCACCTGAAAGCAAGGCGCTTTGCCCCTTCCGAGTGGTGTCCCCTCTCTTGCAGCAGCCATAATAGCCTGTGCCATTAGTCCGCTTGCACGGTAGCGGAGCCCCCAAGGGGGCGTGAGAAAGAAGGATCCAGGGACGAAAGGCCCCGACTGCCAGAGCCGTCGGGGGCATACAAGTGGACTAGATGGAAAGACAAAAGAAGATAGAAAAGTCAAAAGATGGCGTCCCAATTTGGGACGGTGATGCAGCCACCTTCCAGGAGTACGAAGAAGCATCGCTTTTGTGGGAGCAGGGGATCGCCTCTCACAAGCGATACCTGAGCGCTCCTCGGCTGGTGGCAGAACTCACAGGCACCGCCCGACGATATGTCTTGGGAAAAAGGCATGACTGGGTGTCCTACAATGGGGGTGTGGTCAAGCTCATGGAGCATCTGCGAAGTCGACTAGGACTTCCTCAACTACCTGAACTCACAGAATACCTGACGCGTTACTTCAAACAAGGAAGACGCCGACGGGGAGAAACAATGAACGACTACATCACCCGAAAGACCGAGACATACACCCGGGCTCAGCAGTCGCTTGGCCGAGTTTTGAAGGCCTATGGACAGACCTCGAGCCGATGGTCTGGAGCCTCTTCACGAGTGACATCGAGGCCTGACCTCCAGTGGCAGAGATCTACTACCTCGGCTACGCCCTCAGTGCTCGAAGAAGAAGAAGTCGGAGAGAATGAGGAGAGCCAGAACGCCGTGGAGCCTGAGGAAGATGACCCTTGGGCTCGCTCCTCACAGAGCCGTGACACCCACCAAGGTTGGCAGTCCAGCTCTGGTGCATGGGATCAATGGTGGGGATACGATGCCTGGAGTCAGACAGCCTGGCACTCTGATGACGCTGACTGGAGGACCGAAGCTCCAGAGATCTTGCCCGACATGATCCAAGGCTGGTACCTCTTGGGGGACTCAGGCCTGGACACTGGCGAGCGCAACATGATCCTCGCAGCCATCAAGCAGGACTTCAGCTTTGACCGGGTGGCTCAGGAACTTCGCAATCAATGGCCAGATGATGATCTTCGTCGACGAGATCAGAACAACCGCCAGAGTGGCTGGTGGATGGATGAAGCTGACTCTGGTGAAGATGACAATGCGTTCATCGCCATGGATGACCTCAATGAGGAAGGACAAGCTCTGGTTGTTGCTGCCCAAGAAGAAGTTGATCGTGCCCTGCTGGCGATGCAAAATGGCCGCAGAACCCTCCGAGAAGCTCGTGAGAAACAACACCAAGTGCGCATGTCCAGGAAATACTACAAGACTACGTTCCGGTCTGGCCCAAAGGGCTCAGGCAAAGGACATGATCACAAGGGTACAGGCACCTGCCTGCGATGTGGTGGCGATCACCGGACAGCCAATTGTCCAAAGGCAACCTCGACAGCCGCCACAGCATCTGAGGAGCACACTGCTCCTTTTGTGTGTTTCGCCGAGGACGACCTTCCAGAGTCTGCCCAGGGCAACTTGGTTGAGAATGCCTCCACCTGCAGTGTATACGCAGCAGCACCTCCCTCAACGGAAGATGTGGTGAGTCAAGGTAGGCAGTGCTGGATGGAGGTGCTACTCGCACCATCGGCTCAGTTCGAGCCTTGGAGCGCCTCATGGAGCTCAACTACGAGCGCAATGGATCCAATGGATTGAAGAGCCTGAACCTGGATGAGAGACCCACCTTTGGTTTTGGCAATTCCACCCGCAATCAGTGCGTGTCGACTGCCGCCTTCAAGATCGAAGCTGATGGTCGTGAGGGTCACCTACAGATCCATGCGCTCGACAGTGGCGAAGGACCTGTCCTCTTCAGCATTGCCTCTCTGAGAGCCTTAGGAGCCGTGATAGATTTTGCTGAAGATCTGGTGTGTTTCAGGTCTCTGAATGACAAAAAGGTCATCCAGTTGGAAAGATCTTGCACGGGTCACCAGCTTCTCCCTTTGACACAGGACTGGTACGAGGACTCAAAGACCTCTGACCGGTCAATCCCTAGCCTGCGTGAATATATCTAGGGACAACTCCTTGCTTTCCCAGTGCCTGCCCAGGAAAGTAAGGTGCCTAGCAAAGCGACAGGCAAGTTTTTGTCAAAGGTTCATGAGATGGAACTTGATGATGGTGACAAAGATAGGGGTGAAAGTCATGAGGTTGTTTATGGTGTTGAGGGTTCTGTTTGTGTTACCACCGGTCATGAGGGAGAAACGGCCTTTTTAAGGGAAAAACCCCCTGACCCTCCTGATGTCGCTGCTCTTGCAAGTGCTCACAAACTCTGCGACCAAAACGGTGCAGGGACAGCCACCAGTGCCTTCAACGGCCATGCCTTCCGCGCGCATGAACAAGGAGGACTACATCCTCGAGCTGCGGGGCTTGGGCGAGGAGGTCCCCTCGTCGTGGACCATTCCCGAGATGAAGGTGAGGATCCAAGAGATCAAGGAGGAGCAAGGCATGACCCTTCAGAGCTCTGGAAAAAGGAACACACCCTTTCGAGTGTTGGCCATCGAAATGAACAAGTGCAGCAAGAAAAAGGCCGACCTGCAGGAGTTCACCAGAACCCGTCTGCAGATGCATGTGACCGGGAACGAGACCATTGCCCAGCTGCAGAAGGCATGCCTTCGCAAGATCTACGAGATCACACCGCCGACTCCTCACGACCCCACGGGTTTTGGAGCCCACAGTGCCCTGTCCTACGAGGAGCTGTTCATGACGGAGCCCGGCTATGTGAAATGGGTGCTGCAGACTGCCTCCGAGGGCCAAGCCGATTACCGGCTGTTGCGCCTGGCGAAATGGTTGGAGAGCCGCCAAGCCGAACCAGCCAAAGAGGCCAAGAAAGCGCCGAATGCCAAGTCTCAGGGCGCTCGGAAGCAAGCAGCAGCGGCGGCATCTGTCGCATCAGACAGCAGCTCGAAGTCGAACGAGGCCCTGATCCAGATGATCCAGTCTCTCCAAGAGGAGGTGGCTGCTCTTCGGGAGGAACGCCCTCGCAAGAAGACCGAGAAGCCAGACGAGCAGATGACCGAGGGCTCCTTCAGGGTCCTTTCCCCCTGAGCACCACTGAGCGTGAGAGTCCGGCCCTGAGGGATAGGATCTGCCAGTTCCAATGTACAATAGATGTATCACAGGGAGCCACATGGGAGCCTTTGCCGGAGCACAAGGCTCGACAGTTAGCTTTTCAGTCTGATGACATGCTCCCTGAGGCTTTTGGATCCTTGGTATCAGAGGGCCGTCTCAAGCTACTGGAAGTGGCCTGTTCCAATGAAAGCATTCTCACTGAGACTATGCAGCGCCTCACAAAAGATGAAATGTCAGCCCGCCGATGCTCCCTGTTTAATGGGTTTGACCTGTCCACCAATGCTGGGGTTAGGAAAATCATTCAGGTGATTGACCAAACCAATCCCGAACATGTGTGGTTGTCTCCCATTTGTGGTCCTTACTCAGTGATGCAACAAATCAACCAGCGTACCCCAAAGCAGTGTGAAGAACTCCAAGAAAAGCGACGTGATGCCTTGCGTCAATACGTGGGGTGTGCTTTGATTTACAGTTATTGCATTCAAAAGGGTATCCATGCGACATGGGAGTGGTCACAAAGCTGTCAAGGGTGGCGGTTGCCTTTCATGCAGAAACTGGTTGCTAAGTATAACCCCTTTTTTGCGGTTGTTCGAGGCTGCCAGGTAGGTTTGGTTGACAAAAATGACCAGTTCGTGTCCAAGGGTTGGAATTTGATGACCACTCACTCCCTGCTGGCTCAAAGAATGGAGTTGCCATGTAAATGCCCGAAACATGTTGAACATGTGAAGTGTGAAGGGTCAGTCACGAGCGGCACGGCTTTTTACCCCCAGGGTTTTGCCACCAGGGTTTGTCAAGCCATAAAAAAGGGTTGTAGCCGTGAGGAAGTGCGTGGGGAGTTGCAAGGGGTTACCACCTTGTTGGATGCTTTTGGCAATGGGATCTCATGCTTATGCCCTGAGGGTCAACGACACGAAGCCAATCTCACTTGTGGCATGTGTAACCACCACCAACTGGGAATTTTGAGGGGAAATGACAACCAAAGTTGTTCGAAGGGAGATCACCAACACTGTGATGCGGTCGAAGCTCATCCAGTAGGGGGAACCCCAAAAGTCCATCTCCCAAATGCCGAGGGTCCTAGGAAACACCCCCATGTGGCTACTGAAACTCAACATATGGTCCCGGTTTCCATTTCCCCCAATGAGGCTATTAGGACACCTATGAGGGAACAACCCAGTGAACATGCTCATGCTGCAGGAGATTCATTGCGAGCCCCATTGAGTGCGGCGGAAAAAGAGGAGGTGAAACGAAAACTGTATCTTTTGCACTCAGCCACGGGTCATGGTCCGGTTCGTCATTTGCTGCAGTCTCTTCGGCGTAGGGGGGTTGATAGGCGAGTGTTAGAGCTGGCTGAACAATTTGAATGCCCTGTTTGTGTTGAAAGAAAAAGACCTCAACCTCGGCCAGTGTCCACTCTGGAACCCTTGCCACCTAAGTGGTCAACAGTTGCTGCTGACATGGGTACATGGGAACATCCAGTCTCCGGTCAAACCTTTCAGTTTTTGGTAGTCATCGATGAAGGCTCAAGGTTTAGAGTGGGTAGAGTACTAGGAGAAGGGAAAGAGTACCATGTAGGAGCTTCACAGTTTTTAGAAACCTTCCAGGAGTGCTGGAGCCAATATTTTGGCCTGCCAGACACCCTGCGAGTAGATCCCGATGGCACGTTTCGCAGCAATGCCATAGCTGAATACTGCGACCGACATAAGGTTTTTTTTGGACATCATACCTGGAGAGGCACACTGGAAACTGGGAACTTGTGAAAATGCAGTGAAGGGTATCACAGAGCTGATGTCCAAACAAGCGCTTGCTGAACCAGACATCACAGTGCGTGACGCGCTGTCAGAAGCTGTGAGGGTATTCAACGAGCGGGAAATGATCAGGGGCTACAGTCCCATCCAGCATGCCCTGGGCCGAGCACCGGATGCTTCCGGCCGTTTGTTTCCTCGGGCAGGAGGCGACAGCCCGGACCTTTTGGTCGAAAATGCCAATGGAGAGTTCCATCGGAATCTGGAAAGAATGAAAGTGGCTGAGCAAGCTTTTTTGGACTGGAACAATGAACAGCGAGTTCAACGAGCCCTTAACTCTAAGGGTCGGGGTACCCTGGACTTTCAACCAGGAGATCTCGTATATGTCTGGAGACAACAAGTGAGTGGACAAGCTAGCGTGAAGGGAGGCTCATTTGTAGGCCCAGTGAGGGTGTTAGCAACTGAGCACCGCCACTCCAGTGACGGAAGTTCAAAGGCTTCAAGCTCAGTCTGGTGCGTCCGTGGCAGACGCCTTTGGAAGTGCAGTATGGAACAATTGCGCCATGCCTCTGAGAGAGAAAAACTGCTACATGAGCTACATGGCCCTGTGGAGAGCTCTTGGGACTTCCACCGTGTGGCCGCCGAGCTTGGTGGCAATGAGTACTTGGACGTCTCGAAGGAGGTGCCCACTGAAATGGAGTGGGAAACAGCACAGGATCCCGTTGACAGCAGCTGGATACCAACCCACCGATGCCGGGGCAAGAGAGGACCTCCGGTCACCCAGATGGAGGTGGATCCCTTGGATTGTCCACAAGCTCAAGAATCAGGTCGTACAACCAGGTCGAGAAGTCCTCGACAACGGGCTATGCCATCCACACCGCAGCCCAAACATGACGCCTTCGCGGTGGGAGAATCCTGGTGGGAGAATCCTATGGTCCAACAGGCATGCAGTGTCACCGAGAGCACCTTTTGGAACAACCAACAACATGCAGTTGAGGTCTCTGTGGAGATGCCAGAAAATCGAGCTGGGGCAGAACGAGCTATCAATGACCTTCCGGCTTTCTTCACCAACAGCTTCAAGCGCAGAGCCTCAATTGAAGTTTCTGAAAAACACCTGAGTCCTGAGGAAAAGGAAATGTTCAGAGTCTCCAAGATGGTGGAGGTCAACAATTTCATAGCTGCTAAGGCATTTGAGGCCCTGCCGGAGCACCTGAAACCCTCAACAACACAGGCCATCCGCATGCGGTGGATACTCACCTGGAAGTACAAACAAGATGGCACCAAAAAGGCAAAGGCAAGAGCCGTGCTGTTGGGTTACCAAGATCCCTGCTATGAGCAACGATCAACCAATAGCCCGACAACGACCGCAAAGGCGATGTGACTGGAGCGTTTTTACAGTCCAGGGAGTACCCTGGAGTCCTTCACTGCATTCCCACACCAGAGATATGTCAGGCAATGGGCCTGCCTCCAGAGTCACTGACACGGGTCAAACGGGCCTGCTATGGACTGGTGGATGCCCCTCTTGAGTGGTATAGATCGGTATGTAGCTTTTTTGAGAGACTAGGACTAAGACGGTGCTGGTCTGACCCATGTTGCTGGATTTTCTGTGTGGAAGGAAACCTAAAGGGTATCATTTCTGCACACGTGGACGACTTTTTGTTTTCCGGAAAAGAGAGCTGCAGCGAGTGGCAGAAAGTTTTAGAGGCTGTCAAGAAGGAATACAAATGGAGCGACTGGGAAGAAGACAAATTTGTCCAGTGTGGAGTCCTCATTGAGCAGCACAGTGACCAGTCTTTTAGTCTGTCACAGGAAAAATACGTTGAGGACTTGAAATATATCAACTTAAGGGCTCACCGAAAAAGAGACAAACATGCACTGACGGATGAATGGGAAAAAACCCAGTTGCGGGCGCTTTTAGGAGGGGTCTCATGGCATGCACAGCAGGTTGCTCCACACTTTGCAGCTGAGGTAGGGTTACTGCTGTCACAAGTCAATACTAGCACTGTTGAAACTGTGTTCAAAGCCAATAAGCTCATGGACCGTGTGAAGAGCATGAAAGGCCACAGGTTGAAGGTTCACCCCATACCGTATGATGAACTTGCCATGTATGTTTGGGTCGATGCAGGTTCACAGAACCGTCATGATGGCTCGAGCACCCAAGGTATAGTGCTGGGCATAGCGTCCAAGCGCATGAGCCATGGTGATTGCGTACCAGTGTCGCTGGCAGCGTGGCACTCGCAGAAAATCGAGCGCCGTTGCCGCAGCCCAGGAGCAGCGGAAGCTTTGGCGGCAATCAATGGTGAGGACACCTTGTACTACGGCCGTTTTCAACTGGCCGAAATGATGGGAGCCCCCGTGGATGTTCGAAATGTGGATGCCACCGTCAACTCTGTTGATGGCAGCCTGGTGACAGACTCCAGGAATGTGTATGACAAGATGGAGACTGAGACACTCAACATCCGAGGAGCAGAAAAGAGAACTGATTTGGAGCTGCTGGCTCTAAAATCGGCACAATGGAGAAACTATGTGAAAATACGATGGGTTCATGGAGAAGCCCAGTTAGCCAATGGTCTAACAAAGTCCAACGAGTACAAGCAATTAGAGCTGTTCTACGAGATGGGCCAGTGCTGGAGGCTGGTTGAAGATCCCGAGCGTGCTTCGGCTCGCCGTCGAAAAGCCGCAGGACTTGGACCACTGGAATCCAGAGCTGCAACTCAGGAAGAACTTTTGGGGAATAAGGTCTTAACCCCCTCTTGACCGGTTTTTTTTTTTCCTTGTTGTCTGTGGTTGTTTGGTGTTTTTGGGGTTTCTGTTGGGTTCTTTTCCAAAGATGTTTTCATCTCATGAACCTACTTTAGCACATAAATTTGGGGAGGTGGGACCGATGAACGTTCCACGTCATACTCAGAGACAAAACATCGTCTCTTCCGTGAAAGCTTGGCTTCAAGTTGAAAAAGGCGAGAGAACTTGCACCTGAAAGCAAGGCGCTTTGCCCCTTCCGAGTGGTGTCCCCTCTCTTGCAGCAGCCATAATAGCCTGTGCCATTAGTCCGCTTGCATTATGTATATCATGTTATATCCTCATGACACCCAATTGTATCCCAATTAAATAGACTATAATCATTCAACAACCTGAAATAAGGTCACCTTATCTCAAGTCATTTTGAAATAATCAATTACCACTTACTAACCATCATCATGTCCAGTGAATGCATCACAATAATATAATTTGGGAAACTTTGAGGATGGTTTCTGCAGTTTCAATCCCCACAAAAATGGTTATGACTTGGGGATTGTCTATGGCATTGCGTTTACCACATCATATAACTTTTCTAAAATGGTGGCACCCCACATCCTCCAAGTCATTAGACCATTTTAATGTTAAAAAACCCATGGTGACGACTGGGGATCCCCCATGACTCCAGAAACTCTGCATATTATTGTTGGTTTACCTCCATTAGTATATTGGTTTGCCTCCAATAAACCTCCATTTAGAGTGGATTTTCCTGTATTTTCCTATATGAAACCTCCATTTCAAGTGGATACCCTCTGGTAAACTAACAAAAAACTATGGAAAATCACCATTTTCAATGGGAAAATCCAATATAAATGGTCATTTTCAATAGCTATTTTGACATAACCAGTGGGTATCTGACATCGCCCCCAGATGTTCCACTGGGTCTCCCAGACTCCAGGGAACTGCCCTGGGTCGTCACCGTGGAGTTCAGCGCACCCAAGGAGTCCGAGAGCTGCAGAGCACTGGAGCTATGGCTGGGTCAACCCCCTGGACCCCCTGGGATGTTTAAAAAACAATAGCTGGGACAATCTATTTATGACTTTTAATATAGCTGATAAGTTCCTACTGGGACTTTTAATATCAGCTATTTGTTCCTACTGGGACTTTTAATAACTGTTTAATAGCTGATATGTTATGATTGTTCATAGTCAAATAAGTGATTGTCCCAGCTATTGTTATTTAAACATACTATGGTAGCGGCCAATTACAATTTTACATAATTTTCCCATGGTACCAGGTATCATGAATTTTGTCCCAGCTATTAATATTACAACATGGATAATTATTTGAGAGTAGCCCTATGGCCCTATGGTATACTATTTAATGACCTTTATGTAAAATAGCTGAGATTTATGATGATTTATGGATGTTCATCCCCCTCAAAAGTACTGTGGGATAATAGGATTTGACCCATCCTCTGAAAAGCCTTATAAGCCGCTGGGCGGATCTGGTTGATTATGGATGTGGTGCTAGGGTGTTGACTTAACTTGCATCATGCCGCTAAAGGCATGATGTATGTGGCAGGCGCTGTGAAAAGCACAACAGCACATGAAACCACTGAAGTCACATCACAAGCCCTAGCAACTGAACTATACGCCATTTATTTTAACTGCGTATATATCACAATTCAGCAAACTGAAATAAAATCAAATGCCGTATTATGTCCCATGAATGGATTTGAATAAGATTCACATTAATGTTATATATATATGTGCATATAACATATTTATCTCAGTTTCGGTTGAATCGGTTTTCCCTCTCCTAATGTTGGGACATGTTTGAAACCACGAACTATCAAGTTCTGTCCTATTGTAGGCCAAATCCACACACCATGTTTCCCATAGCGGGTTTCCTTATTGTATGATGATCCCCACCAATGGATGTCAATCACGGCTTCAAAACCACTCACCTGAATACCTCAACGTTGACACTCAAATTCCATCCCTGTGTTTGACAATTTAATCAGTTGGGTAGAGTTTGAAATAGAAAACGCATTAGAAACCAATGCCAGTTTTATCCCCTTTGTATACCTACTATACCACCTGTTCTTTTGAAGAAAACCACCTGTCTTATCGCTATGTTCCCACCTCTCCATGGGACTTCTTGGTGATTTCCAACAACTCCTGGAAGGAATTGGCGCGAAAATCCACATCATATACGCCTACATTCATATTGCCCATACGGTATATATGTATAATATATATATATGTACTAAGATATACTAATATCACATACAGTCATAGTCATAATTCATAATTCATAATCAATGTGCACTGGCCTGGTAGATGCATGATCAGCATCCATCATGCTTGAGTGTAGATGTTGGTTTCCTCTATCAAAATGGCCAAATACAACCAATGAACCTACCGGTTTTGTTGGTTGAAACCTCATCGTTTGGCAAAATCCCTGGTGTTCACCATGGGTTATGGTACAACCTCAGACACAAATAGTTGAGATCTATGAACCTTTCATCCCCAAGTCTGGAGAATTTTATAGATGTCACCGTTTGACCTATACCATCCATTACCATCCATTACCATCCATTACCATCCATTACCATCCTCCATTACCATCCATTTCCATCCATTACCATCCATTACCATCCTATATCTATCTTTTGATGTTCACATTTTCACTGTTCAAATCACCACTTCCTTTCCAGGCCATGGCGGCCATGACCCGGTCCTCGCGGGTGCGGTGCACGTGATTCGCCAACCGCTCCAGGGCGTTGGTGGTGGTTTTCTGGTTGTTGGCATCCACCTGTCGTCATGAATTGAAACCCAAATAAAGGATATATATATATATATATATATAGGGATCCATGAATTATAGGAATCTTAAATATATTCATTCCTATCAATCTATTATAAGGGATAGTTGAACCACAAATATACAGATTGATTATAGGGATTTGGGGTCTACTATGTTCACAACTAAGTTCTGGGAGTGCCCAAAGCGAGGGCCAGGGACATGATCACCGGGTAATCATATTGATGTATGAAGTACTATTACACACTATTTATGGGGATGGTTGCTGTTTCTAGTCATTCACCACCACATACATATATATATATATGGCAAAATGATAATGGCCAAAATTTATGCCAAACCTATTTCCCCCAATAGATGGAGGATGTAATATATGTTGACTTGTTTGCTATGTTGATACTTGCATGAACCCTAAGAACCAAACAGTTTGGGCCATGTTTGACCCGTCTCATCATGTCACGCCGATTCATTGAGTTGGCAGGGGAACGATCATGCCCTCTGCCTCCGCAGACTCCTCATGTTGGAGCAGAGTATCCTGGCAACTCAAAACGTGGGAGGCCAGGGCTGCAATCAAATGTTTAGTATATGTTTAGCCATCAGAAACCAATGCTTTATACTGACTTGTGCTGGCTTGTGATAATTTATAATGGTGTATAATGATTGTAATGGTTACGATCTGGCAATCACATTTTGATGGCTTTACCAACTGATGGACCGACAGGTGGTTGAGGTCTCCTCTCTTTCTCTTCTCACCTATCTATCTATCTATCTATCTATCTATCTATCTATCTATCTATCTATCTAACTCTCTCTCTCTCTCTCTGTCTCTCTCTTTCTCTGTCTGTCTGTCTGTTTGTCTATCTATCTATCGATCTATCTATCTATCTCATCTGTCTATCTAATTATGTATCTATCTACCTCCTCATTTACCTATCTAACTATGTATCTATCTATCTTCCCATCTACCTATCTACCTATCTATCTATCTATCTATCTACCTGTCTCTCTCTCTCTCTGTATCTATCTATCTATCTATCTATCTATCCATCCATCTATCTATCTATCTATGTCTTTCTAACTATTTGCCTATCTATCTATCTCTCTCTTTTTCTCTGTCTGTCTGTCTGTCTGTCTGTCTATCTGTAAGCTTGAAAACGAAGCTATTTTGTGCGCCACAACGGCGTGCGCTTTTTCGACATCTCAACTTCCAAAAGTGGTCCGAGAATGGTGTGTTTTGTACGTTTTGACTTGGAAATGTGCTTCGAGCCACAACGGCGTCCACTTTTTCGACATCTCAACTGCCAAAAGTGGTCCGCACCCCTAGTGTTTTGTACATTTTGACTTGGAAATGTGCTTCGCGCCACAACGGCGTGCACTTTTTCGACATCTCAACTGCCAAAAGTGGTCCGAAGCTGAGGTGTCTTGTACATTTTGACTTCGAAATGTGCTTCGCACCACAACGGCGTGCAATTTTTAATCTCTCGTCTGGCCAGCTGGCTCCGCACCCGCCGCTTTAGCGAGCCTACTGTTCGACCCTCCGGAGCCACAAATCATTGGAAAAACACAGTGTTTCGCGACTTTCCTACCTTTTCGCGCATCTGCATCTTCTTTCTTCTGACTCTTTCTCTTCTACTCTTCTTTCTTCTAATCTTTCTCTCTTCTAACTCTTTCTCTTCTACTCTTCTTTCTTCTAATCTTTCTCTTCTCTCTGTCTCTTCCCTGCTCTGCTTTTCATCTGTCCATATTGTCGGAAGTTTGACTTCTAAACTTCCTTCGATAATACAGAGTGGTTACGAGTAATGATTATACTTGTTATTGGTTTGTAAGTTTGTCATGTTTAAAAGCCATGATTTTTGTGTACCCTCAAATGCGCTCTTTCAAGCAAAGAGAACCCTTGAATTCCAGTGAAATCCAAAGAACAAGTCGTTTATCTCGTTTTAGTTTTGTTGTTGCCTCTGGAAATCAGTCAAGTCAGCGTGCAAATTGGTGTCGCTAATTCTTGGAACATACACTGTAAGTCACTGTACCAATGTTGCCAATACAATCTAGCATAGTCTGGCATTGTATACCTTCTGGTAAACATAGTTATGGAAAAGTTTACCCTCTGGTAAACTAACATAACTATGGAAAATCACAACTTTTAATAGTAGGTAAATCAACTAGAAATGGGCCATTTTCAAAAGCCATCCTTAGTTTACCGGAGGGCAACGAACTAAATGGGCCATCTATCCACAGGACAGCTCAGCGCCTGCATGTTTTGATCCAGGGCAGCCTTGGCCGTCAGACCCGGGGGCCTGACCTAAAACTGGATAGGCCGCCTAGGCCCTTCTTGAGTTCCATGTTAAACTTGGGGTGTATCAGATTATCATCAAGATCTATCAGATTCTGGGTCTGTTTCATGTCTGGCACACAGTGCGACAATTGTCCAGTGGTACTCAAGTCTGACATAGTCTGAGCATGTCAGAGCCCTCTCTTTGTATATCAATGGTCCACCTGAGTCCACCTTGGCAATAACCTCACCATGCCCACCATGACGCTTTACCACATGACAAACAAACTTGCCACCCCAAACAAAACGTTGAGTAAGTTGAGTGCTACCAGGTATATGAACATGACGAGTCGATGTTCTTCTATTTTTGGTCATTGTGCGCTTGACGAGAATCTGGGACAATCTTGGTAGATTCTCAAAGTTCACACACCTGAAATAAGGATGACAAACAGAAACATTATATATTTTGGAACCAACAACAAACAACTTAATTAATTTCCTTGTGAACCAACACATTCACCATGTTGAAGTGGTAGGGTGTTGCAAGGTCCACCCTCTAAGACTTCCGACGATCTCCCGGGTGACATTCTCGACATCTGAGAGCGAGCAAAACAGCAAAAGGAGGTTGATCATTTCGAGGAAGAAGCATGTACTGCAACAAATAAACATATGTCTATCATGCATATGCATATACATATACAATCATATACAGTATATGAATGTATATGATGTGTCTTATGTCTATTATGATATATAGTGAGGAATAACATCAACAAACAACGCAAATGCAAGTGACAGGGCCAAACAAAATCATCGACTCTTGAACACTTTCTTTTTGTCACCCTATGAATGGAGCAGGGAACGCGTAACCAACATTGATACCATCACTTCATCACCTCAATTTTCCAGTCGTGATTTGTCATGTGATGCTAACATCCGATTTTCATAAGCCCTGGCTGATTAATGAGGGG